GCGCAACGTGGGCGAATACCTGAAGGAGGCAGGACCGTCACTCCTGACGGATCGCGCAGGTAGTGTCCAATACAGCCTGCATTGGGGCCGTGGCCTGGAAGCGATCATTGACGGAATAGAGGCTTGTCTTGACAACGGAAGGCGTCGCACACCGGGAGGTGTTGCCCCAGCGGTCATCGTGGTATCATATGCCGGCAATGATGTCTACGGCAACCACGGATTTGTGGGCAACCCTTGGGTGGACACCAACGTGCTCCACCGGAATCCTGCCAAGCAGAGAGCAGCCTATGAGTGGCAGGCAGAGCTGGCACAAAAACACGCCCAGCAGATGAGGCGTCTGGCGGACTTGAGGCAGAGGAAAGATGTGGCAGCCCTGATTGTCATCTGCTACTGCGACTCGCAGAGTTATGGACTGCCGGAAGAATTCGCCCGTCAAATGTGCCAGTCAGCGGATGTCTTCACTCGCCTTGGCGTCACGAATGTGACAGGCACCACCCTGGTTCGATCGTGTCAGAGGTATGACAACTTCCACTGCCACAACACCGAGGAGAACCGGGCGATGTTCGTGAAGTTCTACGCTAACGTTGCTTTGTTTGCCTACCACTATTGGGTGCTCGCTGGCGTTGATGTATTGCGCAAAGATGCGAACCTCTTCGCGAAACCTCGTGGGGAGAAAACCAACCGCCAGTATATGCTTGAGCACATCTGGAAGCGGCGCATTGACTCCGGGTACCTCTTCTTGGGTGACTTTGACGAGCACGATGAGCTTATCCCGGGACAGAAGAGGCAGACTGCCATCGACCAAAAGAATGGCTGGCTCCTGACGGTCTCTGAGACTACCGAGGTCGCTCACATGGATGATCTTGGGGACCCCGTCTACGCGACTAAGGAGCAGATTGCAGCTGCCAAGCTCTTGCCATTCAATCAGCGACTTTACAATATGCCACGGGCAACCGTTGGTCCGGATGTCTATGACGAGGGTCAGGATGTGCAAGTCCCGGCTGAACCGTCGACGGCTGATCAGACAATGCCGGATGCAAGTGTGCCGGAAGTCATCGAGATTGACGACACCTTTGCGCCCAGCGCTGATTCGCCTCCGGGGACGGAAGGTCGAGATGCAAACAACCAGGCTCCCGTGAGCACTCCGGGCATGGAGTTCGTGTCTGTCACCGCTGATATGCCAAAGCACGGTGACACCGAGGTGGACCCTGTTACCATCACGGAAGAAGAGGAGCTTCATGTATCCAATGAACCCATTGCGGATGAAAACTATGTCAATGAACTTCTCAAAGATCACCTTGACTCCGCCATCAAACAAGGCTTTGAAAACAAAGATCAGCCAGATGATGACTCAGATGAGGAGATTGTGTTCAAGGAACCGATTCTCACATCTATGCATGCCGATTCATGTCAGGTCGCCGGGGTAACCTACCAGTTGAGGAAGAAGGAGGATGAAAGCGATGTCATTCGCATCTATATGGCGGAAGAAGACATCCCTCAGCTCACTGGTGAGGCGCTCAGGAAGTTCCGTGAGGTTACAACTCTGGGGAACGAGCCCGACCTGGCCAACAAGGCACCACAACCGAGGATCCCAAAGGCGAAGGCATCAGGTGAGCCGGGGGCACCAAAAGTGCCAAGCGAGACTGCTAAGTCGAAAACAAAACCGGCATCACCGAAGGCAAAAGCACGCCCGGCGGGAGCTGAGGCCGATGTTGAGATGAAGCCAACAGAGGAAACTCAGCCCAAAGTACCAAAACGCCCGGCGGGAGCTGTGGCCTCGGATTCGACCCCGACAGCAAAACCAGCTGTCAAAGCCAAGGCCATGCCTCGGGCACCACCGGTGCCTCCCGTTTCGTCGCCTCTTGGGGAAAACGAAGTTGTGGCGTTGCAGTCAAGATCGGTTCCGGGTGCTGCCAATTTGGCGAACCTGAACTCGAAACAAGTCTGGATTTCCCGACGCGTCTCGGGCTTGCTCCGAGGCTGGGAGCATAGTAAACAATCCTGGCACAAGGTGCAGCCTCCGAGCTTCGACGCTGGGCTGTGGATGGATTTTGGCAAGGTGTACTCGTTCATCAAGCGGAAGTACGATGTCAACCTTACCAACGATGAACTGCTGACGGTCATTACATCCAATCACAGATTCATGCGCGAGGTGAGGATTGCGCCAAAGGGGACTTTGGTCGGTGGAAAATACCAATATACACCTCTCCGGGTCAAAGCGATTCAGAACCATAATGAATGGTCAAGCAACAACGTGCAGGACGCACTTCCTGAGCATGAACGCTTTGTCACTCTCGACGAGGAGTATACTTCGGTGGAATACCAGGCCGGCAAATTCCCTCGGGTTCCGCGAGGTGCGCTGGGAAAAGTGAAGGAGGTGGCCCCCACCATCCTCTATCACTACACGCACCGGGCAGCACTGATTGAGATCATCAACATGGGATTGATTCCAGGCGGCAATCGAACTGGAGCCAGGTTCACATTCTTGACGAAGGAAGATCCGTGGACAATTTCGGGCACTGATTATGCAGCGATGGCGGCGACTCGCCCCATCTGCGTTGCCTTGGATCTCCAGATGATGATGTTGAACGGGCACCGGCTCATAGAGACAACTGCTGGTACAATCCTATGCCCTGACTGGCTGGCAAACCGGAACGTGATTTACGTGTATGACATGGAGTCCCGATGCTACGCCTTCGCGAACCATGTGTACGCACACTATCGCGGCATCATTACCGGTGAAACCAAAGCCTTCAATTCAGCACGCACTGGGGGACCAGTTGCCGATGACGATGAAATGGTGAAAAGCCCACTGGAAAAGTACACCTACCAGGTCCTTGGTGACTATGAGAGATGGTGTGGTAAGGTGGACACCTTTTCCCCATTCGTGTACGGTGAACTGTTTGAACGCCCAGGCGTGAAAGACCAAATGGTATCAGGAAAGCAGAATCCTGATTTAGAAACATACGAGGTCACGTATGTCGTTCGCAGGCCCAATTTCAACGCCTATAGGAACCAAGTGTCGCCCAAAGAGATGCTGCCCAACTACAACCGACCTCGGTTTGATTGGCGCAAGATCCACCCCGAGACTGAGGGTTATGGCAACACTCGATGGATGGTCGTTGAGGGCGTTCAGATGCCAGAAGATCAGTGCCCGACATGCACACATACCTACACCCATGGCATGATGTCCTGCATCACATGCGGCACCTTCCTCAACAATGCCTCGGATCTGTGTAAAGCTGCCCAGCTCATTCGGATCGAAGAAATTGCATCCGATCTCGGTATCGAAGTCACGATGGACATGGTACCTGAGGACAGGCTGCAAGGAACAGGTGTGAGGAGGACGCCGGCGGGGACGCCTGGCCATGAAGTTCAACGTGCTTCTCGTTCGGGCATCAACATCTTGAAAGCGAACGCCAAAAGCCATGTCCAGAAGGCGGAGAAAATGTCCATGACAGTATCGCAGCGACAGCTGACTGACGCTTTCTACGCGTTCAACTGTGCGGCCCAGGACCTCTCTCCAATCTGCATTCAATTCCTGGAACGCCTATCAGATGCCGTCATCCCTGACCCTCCGAGGACAAGGGAAATGATTGCTCGAGGCGTCGGTCATCGATACGCTGGAAAAGTCATCTTCATGAACGAACCAGCAAAAGGGAATGATGCTGACCTGAGCGAGGACTTCTTCATTTATTGGAAGAACAGGCTGCACCGACCTGAGACTTTCGCTGCGGACTATTGTCAAGGTACAAAACGACCCGCAATCTTGGGATTTGGAGGTGAGTGGCGAAGTGAGAAGACAGACCCTGATGACGTATTGGATGAACTCCTGGAATTCGTGATGGGCGATGCTCAATTTGTACCTGGCTTGGATATCAACCTTGTGAAAGAAACAAGGGCACTTGTGATTCCCAAGGCCAAGGCCGCACCAGAGCAACACGTACTCAAGCCGAGACATCAGAGCATCGCTGGCGAGGAGCTGCCGGAAGTGATCAATACCATGATTGGCAGCAGTCATCCTCATCGTCTTCCTGGTGGTCCTCATCCAACCGCAACTGGTGGCAAGATGATCGCGGTCGTGGCAGTGACTGGCGAGGACATGACTGGTGGAGTCAGCGCAGGTGGTGAACACGACGCACAGCGGGAGCTGTTGCCTGTGGAGAAGAGAATGAAATCTACGGGTGACTCGGCTATCTTTGTGCACTGTGTTTTTCCCTCAACGCACCGCGGGAGCGGTTGCCTGGATGACCGTTTCTGTGATGCACCGGGGGACCGGATGCCTGAAACCAGCAGCTAATTCGTTTGAGTTCAGGTCGATGAACTTGGCTCTCAATCCATGCAATGAAGAGCGCACATCTTTTACTGTGTTTTGTCGCCACGCGGGAGCGTGTGCCTTGATGGCTTTGTTCCTGCTTTCTAAAAGGTTGGCATTGCACTCCCAGTTCCGCTGCGCAAAAGAGATTATCTTTGTGAGCTTGCTTTGAACTTTCATGCATGAATCAGTTGAGACATGTTCAACACTAGCATCAAAGAATGACAGTGCATTATGTGATCCGTCCTTGAGGTCAACCATCCTCTCCATCTCAAGGCACGTTCCGGTTCGATGCTTCGCACGTACCGGGGGACCGGATACCTTCGTAGGTCCTTAATTAGTGCACTGTACATAACTTCACTCCTCCCATTTTCGTTCAGCGGGGGGTGTTGTTTCACGCTAGGATGTCGAATACATGTCTCACTTACCTACCGTTTGGCTCAAGGGAAACCAGGTGCGACTTGTTGGTAGTTCTCGGTCGTTTACCTGTAACTACATTTAAGAAAAAGACTTTAAGGAACCTAAGAGCGATGGCCTCAAACCTAAGAGCGATGGCCTCCAACCTACTAGCGATGGCCTCCAACCTTACAATATGCTTGGTTGTTGACCAATTTTGCTCCTGGGGTTCTGCCTTTTGTCGTTTTTCTGTCTCGCAAATCATCCGAGGACGTCTATTTCAACAGCCATGACCGTGGCGCCCCCAATCCAGCACGACAGCCCATTTGCAAGGAGGACAGTTTTCGTGAGACGAGTATAGTGCCCGCAGCATCTCCAGATCTGAAATCCAACGAACACAAGACAGAGAAATCGAAAGAAAGGGACAAGCTATTGGGTTGGAGGCCATCGCGGGCTCTTGAAAAACGGAGAAGCGTCGAAGAGAAGTCGAAGAGAAGTCGCTGTACGCGTCCGCACAGCAACCAGGATCCACAGGCAGCGGCACAGCGGCCCACTGCGAAGCCGGCACTGGAGTTCAACCATGAGTCACGCGGTGGACAAGGGGCGGAGAGAGAAGGTCTGAGGTGTTTGGAAGCCTACCAGAAGTCCGAAGTCTACCCACATGCCAATCAATTGCAATGCCAATCACCCACAACCCCAGGGCCAGGACATCATTTCGGCTCATACAATGCGGCTTTGACTGGATGGCCTCGAACCCTAGTAGCGATGGTCTGCAACCTATTAGCAAAAGGAACCTAAGAGCGATGGCCTCCAAGCTATTTGTCCAACATGAGCTTAACCCAAACAGTCCACTGAAGCTCTAGAGCTTCCATTCGTTCCCACCGTCGAGGTACGTCCTGGGCGAGCCAGAGACCACGGACTGCCCTGCAGGTGGTCAGCCCGTCGAATCTGCAGCGCCTGGGACAGACGAACGAGGGCGGGTTGCAATCCACATTGGACATTGCGGGAAACCATTGGAGGGAAGCACTATGTCTAGTAGCAAGGACGCTATGCTCGGTGGAGGCCATCGCAAGTAGCTTGGAGGCCATCTCTACTAGGAACAAGAAGCAAGTAACGGAGTAACACTAGATCTTCCGAGACCTCAAAAAGTGCGGAGTTGATGTTGGGAGATCACCCAGTCACGAGAAGCACGGATCTCCAACGGATCCGAAGGCTCAATTCTTCCGGCCAACGACCGGGAATGTTCGACGTGGCGGGTGGGCGGAGCGAGGGAGACACGCGATTTGTTGGATTCCAAGTTGATCGTTGGACAAGCCACGATTCTTGATTGAGAGAGAGAGAGGGAGCTGGGCTTTGAGCCAGACCTCCAAACACCACCAAAGAAGAAATGTCAGAAGCGACTTTCGTCCATGTCTACCGTTGGAATGAGGAAAGCCTCTCCAGTACGGCTGGGATTTGAAGTGGTCCATCCGTTCGAAGGGCAACCGGATTGAGTCAGTCGCACCACTCGGTGAGTCCTTCGGCGAGATTCTTCGAACCCCCCGCGTGACGCCGAGGACGAGTGCGGCGTCGCGGCCAAGAAGCTGGGAAAGATGTACCTGGGAGTCGCTCGATGGGAGAAAGCAACAGAAGAAGCTAGGGTGGAGGCCATGGCTATTAGGTTGGAGGCCATTACTAGTAACAAGAAGCTACTAGGGTGGCGGGAGAATGGAGAAGAGTCGGAGAAGACGGGAATGGTGCAGATGATGGACATACCGTTCACCGTAGGTCCTGATGGGGACTTGCGCGATTTCAGCTCCCGCTTTTGCCCTTGACATGTCTTGATTTCGGTGCGGTTGGCCCCCGAGTTGCTTGGGTGCAGGACTTCCTTCAAAAGCGGTTTTTACGAATCACAAAACCTGTCTCAGTATAAGGGTTCTTCAACTTCTGATGTTCATTCCATTCCACTAGTGAACCTCTATCAACAAAGCCTGGTCTTGATGAGCATTGACTTGGTGACGAGTACGTCACTAATCAGGACATGAGAGACTAGACCCTCGACCTTTTTCGAACATGACAGATTAGAGGCTGCTTCCACATCGCTTTCGGGATCCCAAAAGAACCTGCCGATCCGAGAAGCCGATGCCAGGAGCAGAACCCCGCAGAGATGGATCCCAAAGGTGCGGACGTTCCGAAGCGAACCGGAGACCGCTCTGGGCTCCGCTGGGCTCGGCTCTTTGCATCCGGTCAGTTGGGAGTGGAGCTCGATCTTCACAGCCTAAGAGTTCTTGAGGGCCAAGCTGTAAGATTCTCGTGGGATCAGCTGTGATGCTCCATGTTCGAACTTCCTGAAATCCCGCGAGACACAGAGAAAGAAAGAGAAGAAAGAGATAGAGAACATCATCACCTCATCCATTGTTTCATGCAGAACTTAGCGACTTCACTGGTCCTGGCCGACCGCCCCTCTCCCCTCTCTTGTGCCCTTTCTGGCACCGAACTGCACAGGCTGTCAGTTCCGAATACCGGATCAAGACATCTACTTCAATCCGCATCCCACAGGACGAAGTGGACGAAGTCGCTCTTTAACAATAAAGCCCGAGAAGCGGGGGGGAGAGGTAGGTAGGCCGAGAAGAGGTAGGTAGCTAGGTAGCTAAGTAGCTAGTAGCTATGCTACTACCCTACTGTTCCTAGAAGCTTAGGGGGAACTTCAGTTCCCCATGAAAAGACGACGAAGAGAAGAGGACGCAATGGCCTCCAACCTAGTAGCGTCCGATCATTCCCAGGAGCCCCTAGTAGAAGCCCCTAGTAGCTTCTTGTTACTACTAGTAAGGCACTTGTTACTAGTAGCTTCCTACCCCCCCCCCCGCGCGCGCGCGCGCGCGAAAAGGTCCTAGTAGATTCCTTTGCTAGTAATTACAAGTGCCTTACTAGTAGTAACAAGAAGCTATTAATTACAATTCTAATTAAATTCTTATTGTTACTACTAGTAAGGCACTTGTTTCTAGTAGCGTGGCACTTGTTACTAGTAGCTTCTGAATTTCGGATTTGGGAGCACGTCCAACTGGTCCCCGGTGACGACACTCGCTGATGTCGGAGGAGCCACACACGCTGACCGACAGCCCATTTGTCGCAGCTGAGAGGATGCCAGCGGTCTATGCGGCGGTAGCGGTCGAAGTGGCCCCAGGTTCCTGAGCGAAGCAAGCAAGCTGCCCAGTCAGTAGAGCCGCTCCAAAAGGATTTTAAAGCAACCTACTAGCAATGGCCTGCAACCAAAAAGATCAGCCGACTCTTGGTGCACATGTTAAAGGTGCTGACTTTTGCAGTGTCCAACAGTGTCAAATGTTCACGAAATGTTCAACGACTCTTGGTCCAAAGGAAGCTACTAGGTGGAGGCCATCGCTATTAGGTTGGAGGCCATCTCTACTAGGAACAAGAAGCTACTAGGAACAAAGGGCATCGCTACTAGGAGCAAGGATGCTACTAGGGGCTCCTGGTCTTACTACTGGGAACAAAAAGCTACTAGTAGCATTTTTTAAAGCATCAAGGAAGTGCCTTCGATCTCCTTCGACCGCTTTGCATGTGAGCAATTCGTGACAGTGTCCCAAAGACGGCGTCCACACATGCGGTGCTGTCCAAAGACTTGACTCGGGCCCAAAAGAAAAAAGAAAGAGAGAGAGAGAGAGAGATGCGCGAAAAACAAGACATGTTGTCCATGGCTTCACATCCAAGTCCTTTTGCAGGCACGACGGCCATGGGCCCCCGCGTTTCTTTTGTCCCCTCCTACTTAATGAAGTAGACACCTACTTAATTAGGTAAGGGAGAAACTAGTTTGCTACTAGCAATAGGAAGCTAGTACATATGGACGGAGGATAGCTCATGCTCGCACTAATGATTTGGTTCCGAGAGGTTTAGGGAAACTTCACACATCCAAGCCCCATGGGGAATGGAGGGTGAATGAAAGTGTTTTCTGCATCGCTCAACCTTTGGCAACGTTGACCAGTTCTTGCCCACACCCATCAGTCCAGCAGTTCTTGTGATACAATTTGCATGGCCAGGCACTTGAAGGAGTCTCTCCTGCAACGTCCCCCGGCCTCAGAGAAGGAAAAGTGACGAACATCAACATGTCATCAAGTGGTGCATACTTACATGTGCGATATTTCTCAAAAGCAGAAAGACTTTGACATATATATATATATGCATATATATTAAGCGAATCTCGTCAAGATGTTGTTCGTTCACTTTTTGCATGTCACTCTGAGATCGTTCTTTTGGGGGGGGCCTCAAAGACAGCGGAAGAGTTCGCAGAACTGGACGGTCAAAATGTGTGATGCCCCTTTTGGGAGGAGAAGCAACCTGCTACCCACTGCTACCCACTGGTACCAGTGGCGTCTCAAAACGATTCTTTTCGAAGGATGATCTTTCGCCGGACACAACCGTGGAACACAGCTGCCACTGTTTTCGGCATTTCCCCTCGTGGAGACGTGGAAAAGAAGAACAAAGTCCACGAAACAAAACAAATGAGAAGAAAGAAAGAGTAACAAGGTTCGCTACTAGTAACAAGTGCATCGCTTCTAGTAACAAGTGCCTTACTAGTAGTAACAAGAAGCTACTAGGGGCTCCTGGCCTTACTAGGAAGGATCGGACGCTACTAGAAACACCACGCCCTTTTTGCGCCGTGGCCGTGAACAGTGCCCCCATCAAACACGCGAGGTGCCTCTCCCGTCTCTCGTCTCTCGTCTCCTGAGGCCCGGGAGGAAGACGACTGCACCGGGTGATCCAGGCGGAGAGTGAACTTCTTCTTTATTGGCCCTTGCGGGGGGGGGTACGGGGTACGCTGAGAGAGTAGCTATAGCTACTAGCTATATACCCACCGGGAGCTTCCTTGAAGAAGCGCTCGCACTAATGATTTGGTTCCCTAGACTTTTAGGGAAACTTGATCATGTTTAATCATAGTTTACATGAGAAACTTGACGGTATACATGTGTTTTACATGATTATAGAAGGTAGATGCAAGAAGGATCAACAAAAAGAGAAGTAGTAGACTGACACGACCTACGATTGTAAAGGCATGCATTGAAAGGCATTTGTTGCCATCTCTCGATGCGGTCCAGATGGGTCCAGCATCCTTGAGTGCGATTTGGGGGAGAATCTTACAGCAAATGTGGAAACAAGCTTCTTGTTCCTAGTAGTAACAAGTGCATCGCTAGTAGTAACAAGTGCCTTACTAGTAGTAACAAGAAGCTAGTAGAAACAATAAGCTAATAGCGTTCTTGTTCCTAGTAGCGATGCACCTGTTACTAGTAGCTTCTTGTTACTATGTTACTAGAAGCGATGCACTTGTTCCTAGTAGCTTCTTGTTCCTACTAGCGTTCTTGCTCCTAGTAGCGATGCCCTTTGCTCCTAATAGCTTCTTGTTCCTTACAAATTCGGAGGCGTAGTGTTGCCATAAACTTCGTTTGCGTCATGTTTCACGAGGCAAATTTGGACTCACGTTCTTTGGTTCACCAGACGGCATGTCCTGCGCAATAGAATTACAGAGAAGTTTACACCCTGAATGAAGCTGCGCTTATATAAATCTAGTTCAAGGTGTAAACGTTTTCATAAGACTGTCCCTGTGAATCACGTCGTGTGTTTTTAAGGGGAAAGGATCAACAACTTTGAAACTGTTTCTGTGTTGGTTTCCTGATGCGTATGCTCGATTTACGTACTTGTCGTCGGCTCAGTGCCCGGAGTGTCCCCGCTGAAGTCGCGAAATGTCTCTTGTCGTGGAACGCAGACAGTGCCTTCTCCAAACGGGGGGTTACAGATCTCCAAACGACTGACCTGAAGCTCTGGCTGCCACTGGTGCTTTCTCTTCTTTTCAGAAACGGATGAAACGAGAAGTGAAAACAAACGATCCATATCATTGCTACTTTGAGTCAGCGGTCTGCAAACCGTTGAATTTGTCCTCCTGATGTTCTCGAAGCTGATCCTGCTGGCGCATGTGTTCTTTCTCGGAAAGTGCAGGTGAGAGACTTCGATGATGTTTGGTGTCACCGGGCCCTTAAAGATGATCTTTCCAGTTTGGTTGCTCCTCATATCTTCCCTCACCATCAGAGTGCTCGTGAACGAGCAGCGTGCATACGGACTATCTGTGGCAATTGAGTTCGTTCCGGAACACCCGAACAGTGTTTTGGTCTGGGCACGTGTGTTTGATTTTGTTGGGTCCAACCCTGGGAACACCAGAGAAGAACAGAACTCCGGATGTGACGCTTCACTTTCACCTCCTTCAAAGTCAGGTTCCGTCAGGTTGTGAAGGTTTGGTCAGGGTCAATTTACTTCTTATCCTCACCTCATCAGCCTTTTGTCAAGCTGGGTGGCGTCGGTTTGTTCAAGCCTCTCTCATCCCACATGGTCACTTACTTGTGCGTTGATGCTCGCATTCAATTATGTGACTCGTTGATTCGCTCTTCCAAGGGCCCGGGTGGTTCTTGCAAACTTGTGTGTGTTTCCTTTTTCTTGTGTGGGATCAAGTCCTGTTTTCGCTGCTTCATTCGCTCTTCCTTCGTCTCAGGTTGCCAGAACAGGAACAAGAAGCTACTAGGGGCTCCTGGCCTTACTACTAGGAGTATGAAGCTAATAGGAACAAGAAGCTACTTAGGTTCCCATTTGCTCGTGGAGGCGGATTGCCGGTGGTTCCGTGACTGCAACTGCACTCCAGGCGTTGGGCGCTTTGGATCAGCGGCTTTTGGCCCCCAACGAGGCTGTTGGGCGGCGTCCTGTTGGATCCGTTCGTTTGGAATTGGCGACAGCGGGATGTGGGGAGCATGTTCAGTTCGGTTTTGTTGCTTGAAACAGCCCCTGGAGCCCCTAGTAGCGTCCTTTGCTCCTAGTAGCGATGCCCTTTGCTCCTAGTAGCTTCTTGTTCCTAGTAGTAAGGCCAGGAGCCCCTAGTAGCGTTCTTGCTTCTAGTAGTAAGGCCAGGAGCCCCTAGTAGCGTTCTTGCTCCTAGTAG